ATTATGTATTTTATTTTATTGTAAGCCACCTACAATAAGATGAGATGGGTGGCTATATAATAAATTCAATAAATAATAGCTGTAAAGGCCAGTATAAAAGTAGATTATTATTGTAACTTACAGTTGTTCCTCATTTTGTATTATTACTGTGAAATATTTCTCTTGGAGCAATTAATATACAGCAATGCAGATTTTGAAATTTCAGGTTATATTAAAATATTAATTGATTAATCTTTTTTTAAAGAACATCTTTTAGGAGTAACTGAATTTAACACTGTATAGATTGGCTTCTACGAATAAAATTAATTATAGGATCCGTATGAAGTTCCCTTATTAAAATGTTAGATAAAACTGGTTTCTTTTATGTCTAGCTTGAAAAGAATAATATGAAGAATTGGCCCATCTATAAATAAATGCTTTCAGCTATGTTCACACAGTAGGCAGTAACTGTACAATTGTGATGTTTTTATTTCATTGACCATGTGTTTAGAATCACAAAGGGAATCCAGGAAGATAAGTTTGTTTGACAAGAAATAATTCTATTTGAAAGTAAAAGTACAGTATCAGTTTCCGCAGCTATAAAACAAATTCATATCAATTTTCGTTCAATAATACAAATCATTATATAAATTTCCTTACTAGATGGGGCTCCATATATGCGAAGAATGCGTACAGGGAATGATAGGCTAGGATATAAAACTGAATTTAAACAAGCAGCAAATATCCATGTTTCTTTAATTTATGCCTGAGATTTGCAACTGATGTTTAGCTTGCTCACTGATTATTTTTTTTAAAAACCTTGAGGGAATTGCTTTCAACTCTCTTTTGCTCTTTAGACAGCAGACTGAAACTTCTTTATGTATGGATATGTGATTTTTTTTAAAAATTTAGGGTGAGAGGGGAAAATCTTCAATTTACTTATTTCATTATAATTTCATCAAATTATTCATAAAAGATATATACTTTGTTCCTATATACCAGTGTCTCTGAACCTTAGTAACTCTTAAGATGTATGGACTTCAACTCCCAGAATTCCCTTTCATTTTCAAATTGCTAATAGTCATTAACACTGCTATACTCTGTACTGTACAGGAAGGTTATGCAATTTTCTGAGCAACAATACAGAAATGCTTTGCCATTGCCGTCTTCCAGACTGTTTTTACACCTTCTCAATCTAGCCTACATCTGTTAGATTTCTTGGAAGTCTTCTATCCAAGTACTAACCAAATTCAAATCGCTTTAGCTTTTTCAACCACAGTCATGGCAGCCTAAATGCTGTTCTATGTGAACATTTATTTGTTTGTTTCTTTGATGCTGCCCAACTCCAAACGACTAGGAGTGGCTCACAGTATATCAGGTAATATAAAAGCAATAGAATAAAACGCAACAAACAGCAAAAGCAAACTTGAACAGAAGGAAGACGAGGAAGAATAAGACGGCAACCTAACAGACACCCCAAAAATCCCAGAGACATCTAGCATCCAGTGAAGGAGAATCCTGGGAGAATAGCCAGGTTTTTAGGGCACCTTGGAATGCCAATAGGGTGGGTGATATCTGAACCTCATTCCAGAGGGTAGGCAACCCAACAGAGAAGCCACACTGTCTGGGTCCTGATAGATGACATTGTTTAATTGAAAGAAGTATGCCAATCTTGTTAGCTTGAATCGGTCGGGCCAGTAACCAAGGGAGATAGGATTTCTTACATATAAACCGGCCCTCTGCCATGTACTGTAGGGCTTTTACAGATAATAACCACCATTATGAATTGCTCATTGAAGCAAATTGGCAGCTAGGGCAGCTGAAGAGAAGTTTGACATATATAATGATGTGTGGGAAAGACCTTGGGAGACGGAGTGAGGTGATGCTGCCTAAAGAATGGCAACATAAAACAGAGCATAACCCACAGTTGAATAGTGGGTGGGGCAAGAGATTAAGAAGGGATCCTCCCTAATACTTCGAGCTGTAAAGGAGATGGCAGGAGA